CTCTGGATTCCAACTACATCAAGATCATCTCAGTCCTAGAGTATCCTGTTATAAGCCAATAAATATTCTTTTATAACTTAATCTACTTTCAGTTAGTATTCTGTCATACGTGGCAGGAAGAATCTTGAATAATAATGTTACAAATACTTTTATTTGTATATATAAATAAAGAAATTTGGAAATTTCCATCTTGACATTTAGGACTCTGAGGAATCTTTATTTTCAGGAAAACTAGTAAGTAGGTATAGTTCTCATTGTTTACATCATTTAAAAAAATTATCCTAACTTGTCTTTTTAGGGGTTGTATTAAAGGATTTATATTTTAATCTTCTTTTATTCTGAAATACATAAAAGTTAAATGTACACATTAATGAAGTATTCATTATAAAGTAAAAAGCAAGTGATTATAAAGGACTCACGTAACAACACTCAGGCTAAGAAAATGTGTCAACATCCTTGAAGATCCCCATGCCCTTTTTAGTTATGGTCCCTCAGTTTCTCCCCAGAAAAATCTCTATCCTGACTAACAGTAATCACTACATGGGTATACTTTATAATTTTTTCATATATGTGATACCCTAAAAAGTTTAATTTTGCCTGTTTTTGAATTTTATATAAAATGAACTCATACCAAACGTAATCGTATACTTTCCTTTTTAACTAAGTCTTATGATGTATGTTTCATTCATAGCAACCTATAAAGCATATTACCATGTAGCATTCCGTCATACAAATATAATGCAATGTATTCATTTTAATGTTTCATTATAGATCTAATATTGGAATTCTAATAGTAGACATTTGAGCTGTTTCAATGTTTTGACTATTTAAAACATTGATCCTAGAACAAGTCTAGTTCATGTATTTTGGTGTAAACATGCAAGATATTTCACTAAGGTATTGAAGTATATCTAGGAGTAGAATTGCTAGGTATGGATCTTTTTCAGAAATAGCCAAATTGGTTTCCAAAGGAGTTTTGCCTAGTGATAGTTCTTTTTTTAAATTCAATAGTTTAAATATTCTACACTATTCAAACATAATCCTTTCTGCAGCTGGAAAGTTTCTATACATGCCAATATCAATATGTATGTGTAATTTAACCTTAAAAATAAGCATGATTTTCTGAATGTCTAAAACTAGTATTTGTTCACTTTAAAAAGAAAAATTAAAATTACTTGACAATAAATACAATAGAAAAACACACTGGGTAAAAGTTTTATATCATTTTTATAATAAATGACATATATAATGATTTATTATTCCTCCAAGTAAGCAAAAACAAATGTTGAAATGATGACATTAAGGATTATTATATATTTAATATCAAAAACAGTTGGAAACTATAATAGTTATAAGAAATCTATACTATAATGTTCTGTGCTATTCTCCAATTATAAATGATAAATTTCTCAAAATTTCATAAATAGATACAACATAAACAATTGTGATAAACAATTAGTTCTTTCAGTGCTTAAACTACCACATGTTACAAAGCTATTTTCAAGCATCTGGAGATTTCCAAGCATAAGGAGAAGCTAATTACTTTTTACAACGATTGAACACACTTTCAGTTTTGGTCTTTCTTTCCTTTTAGGTGATGAATGTGAAAGAGAAATGACCAGGGTGAGGAAAGGACAGCATCCCAAAGAGAAGCAAGCTCTGACAATGATTAATATGGGGCTTCCACAGGATGTCTATCAGGAAAAAGAAGCAATAGCTTATGTAATGGACAAAAAATTAGTCAGCAAGATCCTAACAATGTATCTCCTTGGAACAAGAGATAGTGCATTTGCTGAACTGTTTAAGATAGTCTGTATTCTACCTGTTTAAACAATGGAAACAAAAATAAAGGGGAAAAACCTTTCAGTTAAGTTCTGTTGTTCAAATTGCCTGAAGGATGGGTTGGTCACCTAATGGAATATGCTGATTAACAGGACTGTCACAAACAATGCCAATTAAAAATTAGACTGTGCTTTTCACTAATATTATGCTGAATATCAGATGTTAATCTTTCTGTTAGGATTCTAAAGGCATTTCTATATTTCAAATTATTTTTATAAGCCATGGCAACAACTGAATAATTTTATTCATGTAGAAAGTAAGAGGAGAGACTGAATTTTTGTCTGTTTTGTGATACACTTTGGTAGCTATCTTATTGGGTAAGTTTACAAAAGCTAAGTTGTCATGTGGCCCTTATTATGATAGAGTGGATAATGCAGAAAAATTCCAGGTATTTGAGTTTCCTAGTTATTTGATTGATTCTTTCTCTCCTTACAAGGCCTAGGTGTAGGATATGTTTATAAATAATTATAAATTCAAAATCAAACCTCTCAGAAATCCCAGAACAGATTTCTCAGAGATATTCTCACATAACTTTAATCAATTCATGATAACATTTTAAATAGGAGTACAGGTCAAATATGGGAAACTATGGTATATTCAAAGATTTATTTTGTTCAATGGAAAGCTGCACCACTAGCTTCTCATCAAGGTGATTATAAACATTTCTTTTAGAAGACAGATGCCTCTGAACTTGATGATCATATTCATGTCACTGCTTACAGTATCAAGTTCTTCTGAGATCAGGACCTTACTTTCAGATATTAGGTGAGTTTAATAGTGGAAAAAAGGCCCCTGACAATTTGTAACTGTAAAACACTTAATCAACACATGTCATAGTCAATAGCAAGAGTTTATAGAAAATCTCCACCACTCTGAGCCAAATTTGAGTCCTTTATTGCCAGCGTTCAAGAGAGGCTCACATCTGAAAAGTGGTTTGCAGGGTTCATTTAAGCAGCTCTTTTAGTTGGGAGTGCTCAGGGAGAAGGAGAAGCTCAAGTGGAATTTTACAGAAGCAGAAATTTGCTAAGTTAGTCAGGGGTCAGGGGATGTTTCACACAGTTCAATTGAAACAAAATATCACAGAGGTGTGGAGTATTCTGTTTACAAGGTCATAAAGATAACATACAGCTGCAGACAGCTCTACCAAATGGGACCAAGACACCCAAGGTGGGAGAGGGGGAGATGACCACCTGGAACCACTTGACCTTACACAAAAGGGAGGAGGACAGTGATGAGGTACAAAATGGACTCAGGTTGGCTATTATACATAAAGAGTCCCCCCAAAATAGGATGTGGAAATATCAAGGAAAGAAGTATACTGGAGAGAAGAAAGAGACTATCATAAAAAGATGATAATGCCACAGACAAAAAAAATCAACCTCAAAGTAACATAAGGTGAATAATCACAATAGAAACACTATGTTTTACTATTATTTGAATCAGGTTATCAGAATTAGGACAATGAATCTACTATAAATGTTTTACATTTTCAGAATGCCAAATCCAAAGGAAATACTTCAGTTTTAAACTCACTAGGCCCCTCTGCCACATTTGACACTATGCAGAAATCTGAATTTCTTCAAAAATTCTACTTCCTCATCAGCCATTTAAATGTTCGGTATTTTGGGGATTTATACCACTCTTCTTAGTATACTTATTCTTCTACTCTCATGATTCTAGCTTTGATTTCTCCCCCAGCATCAGTCTCCAGTATTCAACGCATTTCTGGATGCTTTTCTCATATGCCTCAAAATTTCCAAAACTGAATGAACTCAGAGCAAAATTTATCACCAGCTCCTGAACTTTTTCCTCCACTCAATCTCAACAGATGTATTTTCTGTCTTTGTTCAAAATATTACTCATCCAGTCACGAAAGACAGAAAACTAGACATGTCACCTCTGACCTTTCCTTTGCCAATCCATCTACAAAATCTATCAATTTTGCCTTCTGAATGTTTTATAATTCTGCTTATTATCTCTGGGTCTCAATTTCATTTACACTGATATTTTCTAACTTGTCTTTCTATTGCTATTTGCTCTCTCCAATTCTACCCTCTAAATGAGTATAACAAGAATTTTTCTGAAATGAATGTCTGACTATATCATCCCCTTGCTTCAAACCAATACATGACTCATTAGCTTTCGAAGAAAGCCCATATTTTTGACATGTTTACACAATCTTCATAATTTGGTCTCCATCTATCTCATCATTTTTACCTCAAACCACTTCCTCCACATAATTCCTTTAGTAAACAGTAATTCCACATTGTTCCCTTTGTATACACCATCCTTTTGTTTCCATACATTTGCTCTTGTTCTTCTTGTCTAGAATTTTCTACTCTCTCTCTCTCTCTCTCTCTCTCTCTCTCTCTCTGTTTCTCCTCTTGCCTTCCCAACCTCTACTATTTATGTCTTGGCTATTCAGCCACCTCTTCCAGAAAGTTTTCTTTTTCTGAAAGCTTTGGAAGAATCAGGTTGGGAAATATTCCTCTCTATTTTCTTACCTTATGTTTCACTTGTTTTTTTTAGCACACTATAAGTCCTCTAGCAAGCATATATTACTTTTGTAATCAGAAAAATCAATAACAACACAGAAAAGAGAATAAAATAAGTTTGTACCTACATCATTTGTACCCCATTCTGGACTGTAAGATGTTTGAGAAGACAAATTATAAATGATTCATCTTGTAATCATATTCCCTAGCCCATTACCTAGCAACTGATGCTCAATAAAGATCCTGTTAATGACTGAGAGGAAAAGACAGTATATAAAAATAAAACACAGAAAACATAAAAGACTTCCTTTCCATAATATAGTAGTACATACTAGTCCAACTTTTCTGGGCAGTTACACTGACTTCTTTATCCTAGAGTGTTCCAGTTTAAAATAACTTCAAACGTGTTCACTTTGGCAGCACATATACTAAAATAACTTCAAATAAGCAATTTTAATTAATTAATTCTCTTTAAAATTAATTATCTTTACAAATTGCCCTGTACTTGACATTAGATCTCTTTATCAACCAAGGTACATTTTTAAAAAGATATGCCATGTGTAATCTTTACCAGGTAAACTGAAAATCAGAAGGAAATTTAAAAAAGTAGAAAATAAAATAAACGTGGTAGCATTGTTACTTAGCACATGGAAAATTACTTACATGCAACAGCAATACAGCAGCAAGAAAAGACTGTCCTTGACAGTACCCAATGTCTTCATCATACACAGAATATGCCTAGAGAAAAGATGGAGAAAAAGAAATACTGTAAACATTCGTAGCTTTTAACCTAAGTACTAGCTCATATCAGCTTCCTGCTTGTGCCTGTCCTTGGGCTGTCCACTGCAATTCCACTGAGTTTTTGTTTGTTTGTTTGTTTTTTGTTTTTTGTTTTCCTTTTGGTACTGGGAATCAAATTAAGGGCCTAGAGGTTGCCAGGCTGGTACTGCACCGCTGAGCTACATCCCCGGCCCTCCACTGATTTTTTAAATTTAAATTTCTGTAACACTGGAACAGCAGGATCCCCCAAAGAGGCTGTGCTTTCCTAAAGCAGTCCTAGATGTCCCATTATCCAAGTTCATCATTAGAATTTAAAAATAGAGACAGGCTCAGAGCTTTGAAGTTAATTTTAAAAGCTCCAATATCATTTGAGGTTAAGTATTTGAGACCATGAGAGGCAAAAGGCCATAAGCAAAGGGTGGGGAAGGGCATAGGGCTTCTAGGTTGTTATAAAATTCTAAGACTTCCCTCTAGAAAGAAGTCTTAAAGCTCCTGAAAGTGTAGTGAAGCTCCACTTTTTTGAGAGACAAAAAACAAACCCACCAAACTTCTGGAAGTTCTCAAAGACTTTAGAACTTCTTTACAGTGTAAGTAGGACAAATATAGAGAGAAGTGTTAGTCTTGATGCCATACTCATTTTGCTCAATATTAACATAAGCCATTTTCTATAAGGCTAAGGAGGAAAAATGGCTTCTCTCACCTATAAATGCTGGAGCAAGACAGAACTATTTAGCACTGCCTGGGCTTTTTACAGAATGGTTGAAAGTGCCACGTGCCCATCTATCCCACTACTGCAGGTGCTCTAGCTATTCCACATTGCTAATAGGTCAACTGGAATTAGCCAAATCCCTGACCATTCGTGGGAAATACAACACTCTTTGGGAAATACAATCATACCATTCACCTCTTTGTCTCCAGAGGAAACGAAATAAAGTTGTATGTTTAGTGTTCTACCACTGTGCTGCATCCCCAGCCCTAGGGAACTCTTGATTAATTTTAAGAATTTTTCTAAAAAAATATGACTTATAATCAATGAGAGTCTATATTTTAATGGCATAATTTCTTGAGTGGGGACATTATGTAATCCCACTGTTGGGGAATGCCCCCCTCCCCCGAGAGTCTCACTCTGTAACTGAGGCTGGTTTGAACTCACTATGTGGCCTAGGCTGGCCTCAATCTCAGCTTCCTGAGTGCTAGGATTACAGGTGTGCTCTATCACACCCGGCAGTTCAAAAATTCTTTTTTTTTTTTTTTTTTTGGTACTGGGGATCAAACTCGGGTCCTTGCACTTGCGAGGCAGGCGACGGAACCACTGGGCTAAATTCCTGGCCCAACTCGAAAATTCTTTTCATACCTCTCTGCAGTCAAATAGCTCCACTCTAAGATTCTACTGATCTGATTATTATATAATATATTGGTTTGCATCTTTTAGAATTTCATGTAAATGCAATCATATAGCTTGTACTCTTTTGTGTCTGGCTTCTTTTACTCAGCATAATGTTTCTGAAATGCTTCCATGTTGTGTATGTCAGAACTTTATTCTTTTTCACTGTTGAGTGGTATTTCACTGCAAAAATATAGCCTAGTTTACTCAAATTTTGTTTCCAGTTTTTTTCTAATGTTTTCATTAGACTTTGGTTTTATTTTTTCTTTAGTTTATGTGTTTTCTATTTCTTGATTTCTATTACTTATTATTTCTTTTCTTCTATTTACTGAGGAGTGGCTGTGAACTATGGCACACATGCCACAACAGGATATTTGTTATCACTGAAAGCTCTAAAAGGTTTGCCGTCACTGATTTAGAGTATTCTTCATTTTCTAGCTTATTACAAATAGAAACTTAAGTCGTCCTTGTAATATAGACATAGAAAGCCATAAATTTCTAATTTCTTGAAATCTCATAAAAATAGTATGGATGATGGTGCCAATACTTGCCACCTGTCACCATCCTAAACATTACAGGTCAGTGGAGAGGCACAGGCCTGGCTCCTTCAAAACTCAATTGATTTCACCACAGAAGTGTTTGTGAAGATCTGTGAAATCCCAACTCTAAAACCCATAGTACCAGAGGGAGAAATTGGTTCTCCTGTATAGGCAAGAGTCCAATGAGAAAGAGACAAATTTCTTCATTCACATATATGCTCCTCAAATAATTCCTTTATACTTTTAAATTACGGATCTTTTCACTCAGAAGTTGAAATTCCAAAGTTTAAAATATTTGATCAGGGCCAGGGATTTAGCTCAGTGGTTCCAGCGCCTGCCTCGAAAGCGCAAGGTCCTGAGTTCGATCCCTGGTACCAAAAAAAATAATAATAATAATTAAAAAATACAATATTTGATCAGCTCCTTCAACCCAGGAATAAAATACCAATAATAAATTTCCTGAGAAAGAAAGTAGGGAAACAATACCTTTTACAATAGCATCAAGAAAAATCAAATACCTAGGAATTAACCTAACCAGGGAAGTGAAAGACCTCTACAATGAAAACTGAATTACTCTGAAAATGGAGGTCAAAGAGGACAACAGGAAATGGTTCTGCCTATTCTTGGATAGCCAGAACCAAGTCAAAATGGCCATACTTCCAAAACAGATATACAGATTTGACACAATCTTAATCAAAATGCCAATAGCATTCCTTACAGAATTAGAGAAAAGAATCCTAAAATTCATATAGAGCCAGAACAGACCTAGAATAGCAAAACTAATTCTGGACAAGGAAGGGAGCATCACAATCTCAAATTTCAAGTTATACTACAAAGCTACGCTGATAAAAACAGCATGGTATTGACGGGGGGGGGAATATTATCTTTGACAAAGGGGCCAGATTCCTTTACTGAGGGAAAGATAACCTCTTTAACAAATGCTGAGAAAAGTAGCTACTTGCATGCAGAACATTGGTTCTACACACATATCTATCATTATGTACTAAACTAAAATCAAAATGGATCAAAGATACAATATTAAAATAGAAACAATCTGCTTGAAGATAAAATAGGTAAAACTCTTAAAGACACAGGCCTCCTCAGGGACTTTTTGAGCTGAACCACAGCTGCACAAAAGATAACACCAAGAATCAACAAATAGGATTATACCAAATTAAAAAGCTTCTGCAAAGGAAACAACCAACAGATGAAGAGACAGCCTACGGAATGGGAAAAATTTTTGCCAGCTATTTCTTGGACATAGCACTAATATCCAGAATGAAGAACTCAAAAAATTAACCCTCCCCCAGAATAAAAGACCAGACAAACAATGAGCAACAAAGATGAACAGATACTTCTCAGAAGAAGACATACAAATGGCTTAAAAAAATACATTCAACATTTCTGGCCATTAGAAAAATGCAAATTAAAACAACACTCAGATTCTATCTTTTACCAGAAAGAATATCTATCACCAAGAAATTGGATAACAGCAAATGCCTGAGAGGCTATTTGTGTATGTGTGTGGGAGAGGGGGTTTCTTCACTGATGGTGGGAATGTAAACTAGTAAAACCACTGTGGAACTCAGTATAGAAATTCCTCAAAAAAATTAAAATTACAAATTCCATTTACCCAGCTATTCCCCTTCTAGGTGTCTTCCTAAAAGAGTTAAAATCATCATATTACAGGGATACATGCCATTGTGGTCAGGGTTTTACAAATACAGGACACATAATTTATAGGATTATTTTATAATAGTCACCCAAAAAGTCAAATACAGAGGACTGCAAGAGACTAGACACCCACTGCAGACCCAAAGAATCCAGCCAAGGGCCTGGATCCCATAGCAATATCCCGCACAAGTACAGCTGAAGGCCTACAGTCCAAGACAATGTCCTCCATGAGTCCGTCAGAGGCCTAGAGCCCACAGCAATGTTTCATGCAAGTCCACATTGAAGATCTGCACTGGGAAGGCCCAAAGATCGGTGGTGAAAGGCAGAAAACCACCTGTGCCAGTGGTTTGGTGAAGGCTGAGGGATCTACATTGGTGCTAAGTGATGCTCGTGATGAAGATTAGAGCTCCCATGATGAGAACAACAGCCACTCCCAGCGACACCAAGGCCCCAAGCTCCTCCTCTGATGAGAAAAGCCAAGTTCACATCAGGAAAACCAACCACAGCAAGCTTCTCCTAGAAAATCAACAGCCCACAATCTTCCCCTCCAGTTCTCTTTTTATGCCACTGGCAACAATCCTCGGGTGGGTTTTCCACTCCCAACCATGCTGTTCACTTCAGCTGGGCATTCTAAGTTGACCATTAGTTAATCGACCACACATGCATACACATGTTCATAGAAGCACAATTCACAATAGCTAAATGTTGGAAGCAGCCTCTATGTTCATCGACAGATGAATGGATACAGAAAATGTGGTATTTATACACATTGGAGTAATACTCTTCCGTAAAGAAGGGTAAACTTGAGCTATCTGTAGAAAAAGGGATGTACATTAAGACTGAAATGTTAAGTGAAATAAATCAGACACATAAACATAAATATTGCATGGTTTCTATATGAGAAACCTAAAATATAAATAAAGAACAAAATAAAAGATAACAGGAAAAAAAGAGGGGAATGGAGGGTAAAAAAATGCAGCTAGGTAGGCAGGGAGAAGAAGGGGACTTACAAAGAATTAATACGTGTTATGTACAGATATCAACTCCTAACTATAAATGTAATCATTGTGTACTGTAAACACGTATGAATAAAAAAGAAAAACTTTTGAAAAAAATTCAAATATGATCACTTATAAGCAATGATTTAGTTCTTTTTAAAATAAATCATGTTTATTGAAGTACAATTTACATATGGTATTTCAACTTTTGATCAATTTTTTGAGAAATACTATTATTTCTGTTGAAGATAAATTCTTCAAGAGTCTTTCAGTTCTGTCCCTGTATGCAGCCAAATAATGAGGAAGCAAAATACTTTACTCCATAGAACTATGTTTACTAATAACTGACTTTACATATTCAGC